TTTTTAAAATTGGAGCATCTATTTTGGACTACACTGTTTCCTTTTTCAACAGAATTAAATGAAAGAGCAGAAGGAATAAATCGAACATTGCTAGAAAAAACAAAAGCCTTTCTTAAAGATTCCACATTGGAAAAAGAAATGTGAGGAGAAGCTTTTCGAACTGCAAATTATTTTAATTAAATCATAGCCACAGAAGCAGTTAATACATCACCAGCAGAAGAATGGAATAAACAAAAACCTAATTTATCAAGACTGAACATTTTTTTAAGTAAAAACTTGATCAGTTAAATTAACCAATTAGAAAGTTCAATTCACAAAATGAAAGCATATTTTTGTTAGATATGGAATAAATGGCTAAGACAGAAACGGAAGGAAAATAAAAATGGGCAGAGGTGCTTTGCTTAATAAAAATATAAATTCTGTAACCAAAAATAAATAAACAAATAAAAATACAAAAGTAATTCTGTGGGAAGAAAACCAAAATCAAGCTTTAGAAAATAATCAAGATAAAAGCATTTCTATCCAGAAAGATGATGGTTTAGAAGCTGATAATGAGAATTAAAACTAAAATGGAAAACACGACGCTGAAAATGAGGCATGATCTGCAAGAAAAAATAGAAAATTATCAGCAGAGCGCAGAGGCTTTGTAATGTTGTCATACCAGGAAACAATATTGGGAAGAGATAAAAATAAATCGTTAGAAGCTACTGAAGAAGAGAAAAAGTCTATAATTAAAAATAAAATTTGAAAATTTGTACATGAAAGCTAAGCCGAAAATAAGAATATCTTTCGCAAAAAATGGATTTTTAGTGTCAAACGAGATTATCATTTTAAAGCTAAATTTGTTGCAAAAGAATTTCAACAAGAAGAAGGAATTGATTTTGAAAAAACGTACAGTCCTGCTGTAAGCATTTAGAACATTAAGAATATCATTTGCGGTCGAGGCTAAGAACACGCTTGAAATGATGCAGTTGGGTATAAAACTGCTTTTCTGCATGGAGACATAAAAGATCTTTACAGGAAAGTTCCGGAAGGCTTTGATTATGGAAACAAAATATTTAAATCACAGAAATCTTTTCACGGACTACAACAAGCCGCTTTCAATTGGAATGATTGGTTCCCAAAATTTCTAAACAGAAAATTTTTCATTAAAACCAAATCAGATGAATGTGTGTTGATACCTTTTAGCAATATTTGTTGGTCATCATATTTTAATTGAAAAAAAGAACAAATGGAGAAATATTTAGAAAAAATATTAAATGAATTGTAGTTGACAAATATTAAATTTTAGGACTGGAACTACTGGAAAGAGATGAAAAAGAAATAACACTGAAACAGTTACGATATTCCCTAGATATTCCTAAAAAATGTGAAATACCTGAATATAAAGAAACATATACTCTAGTACAACTAGTACCAACCATATATAATGAAAAAGGAAAAGTTAACTTCCTTTTTAGAGAAGCAATTAACAACCTTTTTTATCTGTCTAAAATATTCGTCTAAATTTAACTCTTGCTGTTAGTCTTGGAAGTAGTCATGCAGAAAACGCAAATGCGAAAGACAGTGAAAATGTAAAATGGACTCATAGATACTTGAAAGGTACTGTAAATTTCGTTCGTAAATATAAATATTCCGAGAAATGTTCCACTTCAATTGAAAAATTGGAGGTTTTCTGTGACGCTGATTATGCAAGTGATAAAGAAACACCTAGAGGCACTATTGAATATGTAATTCTATAATGTTATGAATTTTGGGGCATAGATAAGTAATTCTAGTGCAATTATATGTGAAAAAGTTGTATTTTTCTGCGTAATGTAGCAAGAGAAAACTAGAGAGATAAGCTATGCCGGAAAAGTAAGAATACAGAGATAAGTCCATTTAACATTGAGTAAATGGGTTATCTCGGTAATTTGACGAGATATCGCTAAGCTGACAACGATTTTGGCGTTTTATTTTGTCTCCATATTAGGCGAAAAATCACCAAAACTTACCAAACTTGGCGATTATTTAGCGACAGTTTGGTCTGCTCCCTGTATCCCCATAAGAGGTATCGTAAATGACACTATATCAGTTGCAACCGTAATTTGACCTTTTGATTTCCAGTAATTTCTAGAAGCAGAAAGTACTAGAAATATTTCCGGCCGGTTGAAAACTATATAAGGCCAGAGAAAAGCATCTGTCATCAGTTGTTATTGTTGCGAGTTGTTACCCTTTCTTTACTTATCTCTTTAACCTTTTAATCCGTATCTCTAGTTTGCCATCAATAATTTATACTGATATCTGTAATTATTAATAAATTATTTCTTAAATGAATTTCGATTCAGGATTACTAAAGCGTTTTCTTTAACTACTTTTTTTTTCTTTCAATGTATTTTAAAATGTAGATTTAGGTTATTAACATACTGTACGCAATCACAGAAGTGAATAAGTAAATATCAATTACTTACTACAGTTAGTAATAAAATCCTCATTTTACTATTAATAAATTATTTCTTAAATGAATTTCGATTCATGATTGCTAAAGCGTTTTCTTTAACTACTTTTCTTTTTCAATGTATTTTAAAATGCAGATTTAGGTTATTCACATAGTGAACGCAATCACAGAAGTGAATATGTAAGCATCTATTACTACAGTTAGTAATAAAATCCTCATTTTACTACAGTTATTAATAAAATCCTCATTTTCAAAAATTAAACTTCCACATTCATAAAACAATGCTTACTTTTATCCAATAATAAAGTTTTATTTATTTACCATTCTCATCTTCTGTCTTTTTTAAACAATGCTTACTTTTATGCAATAATAGAGTTTTATTTATTTACCATTCTCATCTTCTCTCTTTTTAATATAAACGCAATTAGTGCAAAATAATATTTTCGGAATGGTTGTTTTAGAAACTTATTTAAGAAAGCAGGGGACAGTTGAACAATTTGGTGAGTGCAATGTAACAATTTTTTAATACTGCAGTTTATAAACGCATTGGAAAATAATTCTCTTTACTCAGGGCTTAATTTCTAAAATTAGAAGTGCCGGAGCCCTATGGAAGACCATCAGCAGAGAGGAACAAGAGTAAATAAATAAATAAAATGACTATTAAACTCTAAAAATTAATAGTTAATTATTCAATTAAAATCTTAAGGTTAATTAATTTTATTTATTAATATTAAATAATTAAATAAATGTAACGAGATAAATTAAAAGTTAATAAGCGATTTTTAATATAATTTTATTGCTAAAAATAAAATTTTCGAGATAAAATTTATACTGAAATTGTTATTCAGTTACATAAAAGAAGTGCCGCAAACTTCTTATTTAGGGCGCCGGTGCTCTCCGACTAGAGTTATGATTTATTACAAAAACTAAGAAGTATCGGAGCCGGGGTCCGGTGAGCTCCGGCGCAATTTAAGCTCTGATCGTAGGGAGAAAAAAGTTCTTTTATCATCACAAAAATTAAATATACTTAAAATATAGCTGTTGAAAATTCAGATAATAATAAAAAGAGGGCAAAACAGACTGAGGGCGTGAGGGTATGAGTGGGCGGAAACAAAAAATGAGGTAAATCTTGGTGAGAAAGAACGTTCTCTTATTATAGAGAACGTTCTCTCTATTATGGAGTAGTGAAATAAATTTTATTTATATTTAAATTAAAAGTAAATCGGAGAAAGTTGGTGTTCATCAAGATTGTTGATCACCGGTGACTTAAGGCCCGTTTACACTAGCGGAACTTTGGTCCCAAGAAGCGTACGCTAAAGTCCTAAGAAACGTAACCTAAGTCGAGCGGTTAGGGAGATGTTTCCTTGGGATCAATGCATAAATCACCAATACGGGACAATGCGCTAAATTTAGATAAATTTTTAAATTTTAAATTAAATTCAAACACCAATGTTGTTTAAGGGTTGTTGGTCACTGGCTCCATCAATGTTGTTTCTTACCAGTGACCTGAATGCCAAGCTCACTTGGAATCAACCACTACTTCCCTGGTGTGAGACAGGGCAGTAAATTTGGACACTTTTTTAAATTAAAATTAAGTAATAGCACACCATGGCATTTTACCGCGTTGGTTCAAATGTCTTATCCGTAGCAGGCACGCATAGTAAGTTCGGGTATTATTTAAACGCCGCAGTTAAAATGCTCACTTTCCTGAAAGTTATCCAGAGATAAAGAAAGTAATCAAGATAAATTCTGTAAGATGACTGAAAGATTAAGTCTATTTTTCATGAAAACAGTGAAATTGAAGAATGTGCAGTCTTGCTCTTCGTTTCGATGAGTTGTGTCATTCAGAACAAATCCCACTCTTTTCAATAAAACTTCCAACTGCAGTCTAGGCAGAAATTTCCTGAACATGCCTGCACATATGAGATTGTTGAGCAGTAATTTGGCTATTCTTTGGTTTTATAAATCACATACATAGTGTTATTTTACTTCGATCTGTTTAGTTTTATACGCTTTCTATTTCTTTTCTCTTTCTGGAGAGATTTATACAGAATATGCCCTCAAATATAATATTAACTTCATCTTGAATGAAACCTAAATCTTCCCTTAGTTGTTTCATTCACTGCAGCTCTTGTGAAATTAAGTTAGAATAATATTTTCGGCTTCTGTCGATAAAAAAATAATACAGCTTTATTTCTTGCTGATCCATTATCTTACACGAAATACGTATGATCTTCTAGCACAACTGCTTCCAGCCCAGGCGATTAGCATAAAGCTGGTTAGCACCATTACAGTTACATATTGATGGATCTTTCTACTGTTTTTACCATTAAGGTTTCAAAATGATAAGGGAAATACTTTAAAAAAATTTAAAAATTAAAATGTTTGAGAATTTGTCACACAGAAATTAAAATTATAAGATATACAATTATTATAGTGAAAATGAGTATACACCTCAGTTAATAAAGATCACATCGTAATTAATACCTTAGCAAATTTACATATTCTCAATGACTAACTAAAAAAATGAGCGGCATTACATGCGTGTAATCGTAATCGCAGGCTTTTATTCACTGTTTACAATCAAAACACACGTGCTTTTTTTGGCATATTTGTGATATCTTGAAATCGACGATTATTGTTTGTGTACGACACAATTTAGTTGCTGACGTTTTATCGTGTCGGAAAATGTCGAAAACTTTGCTGTGGGTAAGGCAATTTCTTTTTTAATTTTCTGAACTTTATTGAAATTTTAATAGATTAAATTCATTTGAAAATTAATAGAAATTTTAACTCTCACTTTTTTTTTTTTTTTTTTTTTTTTTACAAAATAATATTGGAAAACCTGTTGTTTTTCAGAAAAAATTGAAATCCCTTGCGATTATTGCAACTGGAGGCTCAGCTGCTTTTGTTGGGATATGTATGTATCAAGGAAATGAAAAATTTTACAAAGAAGCTCTGATCCCAGCAGTGCATACTATATTGGCACCAGAAGCGTCTCAAACACTTGGACTGTTGGCTGCAAAATGGGGTCTAATTTCAAAATGCAAAGTTCAAGATGGAGCATTGTTGGTGTGTATGCTTTGCAATATTTTCATAGAAATTTCATTATAAATTGGGAGATGAAACCAGTATTAATACTGTCCAAGTTTAATATTTTTTCCATGTTCTGTGTGCAACTTAACATGAGAAAGATAACTAAATAAATTTAGTATTTATATTTAAAATTTTATGTTAAAAGAAAGCATGTATATTAAGTGTAATTCTAAGACACGTTATTTAAACCATTTAGTTATCTTTGTCTTAAAATGCTTTCAATGTATGAAATGTATTTCATATCTGAGGGTCATCTCTTATTCAGATCCCCCTTTTTTTCATTTGTCTAAAACACCTTAAAAATGCAGTATTTTTTATATTTAGCTTCTACAGTATGTAATATTATATGTGTTGTTAATGATTTTCTGCGCAAGTACTTATGTTTTAAAATTTAAGACAAACAAAATATGTAAAATTTTTCCAATAATTAGTAATTATCAGTTTATTTGAAATCTATACATTTCACTTGTTTAGGAGGGAATTTTTCAATTGTTCCCTTTCCTGAACTGTCTCTTATTATAAATACTGACCTAGACAGAATGCTGTTTAATGGAGGCTGATTGATTGTCATGCTTTTAGCTTTGTACTCAAATCCTAAATAATACTCTCAGATCATTGAATGATTGGTGGTACGAGAGAAATGGTATAAGACACTCAGACTCCTATTTTCTCAGGTTCTTTGTCAAAATTAAATTGGAACTTAGACGGACCTTGCTCATGTAGTCTGGTTTAATTAAAAATTTCTTTCCTTCTCATCAATAGCTATAAAGTGTGCACATATTTGCAGAATTTAATTTCGGGTTGTTATTCTCCATCAAAATTCCAACTTCGATCCAAGGACCCCTTCCGGATAGAATCCTGGGGTATTATAGGATTCCTTGCCAGTGTGGTTTTTAATTTACATTGGCCAAACTAAGAGCCTTAAAATTTTCGCGTCAAAGAACATGATGCATATGTAGAAAAAAGGAAACACAGAAGTCTGTGTCTCAACATTGTTTGTCCGAAAATCCACTTTCAATTTTCTGATTGCCAAATTATTCAAAAAAATCTTCCATTGGAGAACTGGATTTTCTAGAGGCATTTCACATTCATAAAAATCTTGTTCTAGTTAACGATCCTAATTCCAATCCAAATTTGCCTTCGGCTTTAGGAAAATTATTTTAGTTCTGGTTTCGCCAAAAGCATGGCGCACTTTTTATTTTGTCCAGCCTTCTTATCTAATCATTATTTCTATTGTCATTTGCGGTTGCAGCTGAAGATGAGGTCTGTAAAACCATCGAAACTAGTCCTGTGAAAATTTTGTAGGTATAACGCTGATTTTTGTTGTTTGACTTCTGAATAGTAAATGATAGGTACTTTGTGAATTATATGTTTGTAGTAATTTGGTCACGTTCAGTGGAGAAACGCGCATGGAATAATTTAAATATTGAGACTAAGTATTTGTAACCATTTTAATGTTTTGTTATGATCGTTGGTGACGTTTATAATAGATAATTTAGAGGTAAAAGTTTTTGGATATTTTATTATTTATACGTGCAAAATGTTCATCTTTGGAAAAGATACTTTTCGCGATCAGGTAATTTCATATGTCCTTTTTACCGAATTTAAAAGATTCACAAAATTTTCATGCATTTCGTGAACTTTTCTAATTTATGAGAAAAACAGCGTGTACATGGATATTAAGAGTGTGCGCAATGCCATTTTTTGTGCAATTTGGATGTTTTTTAAGTAAAAATAAGTCGCGTGTTCATGGTTTCATGATTTTAATTAAATGATGTTTTGTGAATTATATTTTGTACAATTTGGTATCATTGAGTGGATGTAAAGTGCATGGAAATATTTATATTTGACAGTAAGTATTGTAACCATTTTTAATGTTTTGTTATGAATTGTTGGTGACGTTTATAATAGATAATTAAGAGGTAAAGTTTTGGGATATTCTATTTATAATACGTGGAATGTCATCCTTGAATAGGTATATACGTTTCAGGATAAGTAATTTCATATAGTGCTTTTATGAGTTTAAAGATTCACAAAATTTCCTGCATTTTCGGCAAATTTTGTAATTTATGAGAAAATAGCAGTTTGATGGATAAAGTCAAGAGTGTGCGCAATGCCATTTTGTGCATTCTGGGATGTTTTTTAAGTAAAAAAATAGGTCGTGTACATGGTTACGTGTATGTGCGATTGGAAAAAAACACGGCAAGGAGTTTGCGATTTCTGCACTTTTTCCCGATTTTGCAGTTAATATTTGTCATAATTAAGCAGTTTTGTTCCATAAAATTTCTAGCATAAGTGTAATTCGGTTAGGAGATTGTTGGAAAAAGTGTTGAGTAAATAAAAGAAAAGAAATATGTTTTTACTTCATGAAGACAAAATGGTGGTGAAAAAAAAAATAGAGGGTTGCTGTAGCAGAGTTGGTCGCTAAATTTTCGCCAAAAAATCGCCAAGTTTCCATAATCCAAAGATCAACCAAAAAATGTAATGAATAAAACATCAGGGATAGGAAAATGGGTTGTAATTTAAAAATATTCGTATTTCAGGATTGAGTAAAGAATTTAAAGTCATTGGCATAATCGTGTAATTGTAAAGAATTGATGGAATGAACTTAAAAATATGAAATTCTATGAAATTATAAATGAATATGAAATTATAAATAATGTGGGATCCAAAGAAAGCATTTAAAACTATATTTTATTTTAGGCATTGTTTTAGTGTAGGGATTTTTATAAAATTATTAATGCATGATGAGTTAAGACATACATGCAGGTGCATTTGTTTTAGTTATATTTAATATACCTTACTTAATATTCATAGTTACTGGAGACTGATAGCATAGACAAGAAATCAGGACTAACTTTTTTTCTGCAGTTCGTTGCACTTTCTTATATTCTCCTTATATACACATATTCTCCTTTTACCAGAGTCGTAGCTAGGGTTTTCAGTGCCCAGGGACAACTGAAGATTTTGCACCCCCTACTGCTTGCCAAGGAGGGAAAACGTTTAATTTTAAAATGTCTTGACATCAGTTTGGCGCCCCTTGGATTCTGCGCCCGGGGACAGATGACTCCCCTTGCCCCCCTCTAGCTACGGCCCTGCCTTTTACTTATACACTAATGCTTCAGTGGTCAAGATTGCTGAACATTGGTTATTATAATCTGTAGATATCTTGGCTTTATGATAGTTTCATGGTTTTCCTTATGTGTAATATAAATGAGAACCAATTTCCTTTAAGAAAGTTCTCCTGAAAGGCATCCCTGCCTTAAGCAGATTATTCTTATGTTCTTTACCGTATATGAATAAACAAAAAACAAATATATTCACATATTATCAGAGAGTCTTCATTTAATTACTTAACAGACCTTTTGTTTGTTGCATGAAACAGATTGAAAATGATGAGTTTTGCCTTAAATTAACCAATTTAACATTACTATTAAATTATTTAATATAAGTTTAATACTTAATTTGAGTTAGTACAAGTGTTACGTAAACAACATACGATTCTTTTTTAAATGTTTAATTGCAAAATTCTTAGTAATAGTTTCGGTACTTACGTATTAACGCAACCAGGCCAAAATTAAATGCGACCCTACGTATTGGCAACCTACTGTTATGGGGCGTTACTACCACACAATGGTTTTGGCGGAATTCCGAAAAAAGAAAAGGACTTTTTTTTGTACTGTACCTAAGAAGCGCCGTTACCTCAAAAAATTGCGAAAATATCAAGGAAGGAGCATCATTTATTCCCAATTTCTGGAAAGGATACAATACAAGTGAGTTCAAAAATGCGGATTCTGCCATGGAACTGTAATCACAAATATAACTTTGTGATCCCAACATGGGCGTTCAACACAACATGTAGAGCGCATGTGGGGCTCAGAAATGGCGCAACAAAAAAACAGAGAGGAATAGCCCGTCATATCGTGACTCATACTTATCGAATTTATATGGCACCAAACTCAAGCTGTTAATGGCAAAGACAGTTTTCAATTAGTGCTAAAAGCAATAGCCAAAAGATTTCCGCCGAAAAAATAATTCTGCAACTTATTCAAATTCGAAACCGGAAGGGTTTAATTGCTAGGTATATTTAAAACAAAATAAATATAAAAAAACTGTATTAAAATTATCTGTAATTATAAGTACATTTTCTTTCTATTCATGCTTTTTTACCAAACTTGCAAATCGCGCCAACCTGGTTGCGATATACGTAAGACCCTAGTTCTAGATGTTGTTTATGTAGCTGTAAAATAAATTAAGTAATATTTAATTAATTTTTTGGCTTCTTTGGAAATGAAACAGGTAGTTTGGCGACATTGCAAGGTGTAAAGGTTCTAGCTAGGATTAGCAGTGTACATGGATAAAGTAAGAGTGTGCGCAATGCCACTTTTGCAATTCTGGAATTTTTTTGTAATGAAAATAGGTCGACATGTACATGGATACCGCCGTATGTGGAATTCTTAAAAACGCGGCAAGCAGTTTGCGATTCTGCACTTTCTCCCCAATTTCGCACCTAATCTTGTCATGATTAAGCACTTTGTTTCATAAAAGTTCTAGCAAAGCGTAATTCGGCTAGAGATTGTTGGAAAAAAATTGAAGTAAAAAAAAAAAAACAACTTAAGAAAAACAAAATGGCATCCAAACAAAAAACTAGCAGGTTGCTATAGCAGGGTTGGTCGCCAAATTTTCGCCAAAAAATTGCCAAGTTACCATAATCCAAAGATTAACCAATTATTTAAAAGATATAAAGGCATTTATATGGTCATAAATTTATTCTCATTTTGTACATGACATTTTGTTTAAAATACTTTGATCTTTTTTTTTTTTTTTTTTAATAGTCAATAAAACATTCTAAAAATCTCAAATTTAAGATTGGATTGGAGTGTAGGATTTAAGCAAAATACAAAAGAGCTGCCCATCAGAACTCTATTCTAATTTTTATAAAGGATCTCTTAGCAGATAGAATCTAAAGTTTTAGA